TGATTATCGGGGTACTGGCACCTGTGAGAAGATCACAGAAGCTGAGTGTTGGGATGGACTCGTAGGGTGCGCAAAGTGCCGGGCCAGGGAGACTCCTAAGTATAGCATTATCTGGCAATCGGACGATGTAACTCGCGACCACCTATCAATGTCATTTAAATGCCACCACTAATGTGGTTTATGAGACTTACGTTTCTCATAATATTCGGTCGCGACTGGAATCTTATTAATTCCAAACATATATCAGGGTTCATCAAAGTTAAACGTCCATCTTGAAGCCCAAAAACTCCCTTTGTACGTATCCATTCCGCTAGGTCTTCGAGGTCTTGTTTCTCGGTAGTTCCGTTGATAATAGTCGCATCAAGGCTCTCCTCTCGAAGGTACCAGTTTTCCGACATATTGGAGATGTAAATGTCTAATTTCTGCTAACTGAGGGGTCGTGGCTTTTGTCTGTTAGTTATGGAACATGGAGATGTACTTTACCATATTTTCCAGTTGCAAAAGTTCGCAAATTTATATGGAATTGAAGAAATGACTTCCGAGTAACGGACTCGATAGAGGGGTAAGTGTATTAGTCACCAGACCAGTGCCCCGCTATCAGGCGGACGCGTTAACGTGGTGTTGCTGGGACCAACGCGGATAACGGTGCTCGGCTTACATCATAGCTGATTGAACGATAATTAGCTACCTCTCGTAGTGTTGTTGTTATAATAGAAGGGAAATGATATTCACGGTTTCTGGCCCAGGCTGTTTCGAATTCTCTTCGAAAGCTATCCATTGTTTCAACAGTGGGCTTGCCATCCTTCGAAAGTTTTCCAACTTTTCCTCCTGCAACATACTCAAGAAACGCTTTGTATGTTTATATATCTAGTGGTATAATTGCTTATAGATGAAGCTAAGCGAACCTTAAGATAATTATTAGCATATACTTCTATATAGTTAATGAATTAAGAGTACAGACTGGTCAAACAGCAGTAATACTTTGGTATATAAATCCTCAGTATAAGGTAAAATAACTTTTTCCTTCTCGATATTATTATGATAGGTAAAGTTAATCGTATAAGTAAAATTAGATAGTGATGGAAAGGTTACCGCTACCATTATAATCCTTATCTCAGTTTGTAAAAGGAGGTTAGAGCAAGAAATAGATACAACACAAACGGAGAAATAGAAGAGAAAGGAGGTCGCGCGATATATCTTATAGAAATAATTACCCTGGTTATTAGGGAAATTGTGAGTGTGTCCCTATAGGACACTGCCTAAACCTAAGAAGGCAACATCGTGTAGATATGGGCCATGGCGAATACAGGTGAGCGTAGGTGAACGCAGATGAACGCAGATAAACACAGATAAATGCAGATAGAGTTCAGGTGTACTTCACCTGAATTCATACTGTTGATAACTAACCCAGGTACTAAAAAGCGGCAAGGACGCCTTCCTCCAGGAGGGTAAAAAAACGGGTGAGCACCGATCAACAACAGTCAGGATTCGCTAGTGGTCACCCACCCAACGACTAACCGACCGGCAAGTGGCTTATGTACAGCTGAGCGAACGGGAAGCTCTATTTTCCACTTCCTATGGTCGTATGTACTTTATGCATAGACGAGAGGATTGATACAGGACTATACACACAGAGGTTGAATCCATAAACTATTGACGGACATCATTTACACGTGGTAACTAGGACCACAGAGGTATTTGCACTAGAAAAGTAATACACTACCAGGGATCATAATCATAAACGTATTTGACGATATAACTAATTCGATACATGATACAGGACGAGAGCAGATGCTCGACTTGAGGTATAGATAGACAGGTGAAGTTTTGATAAGTAATATTTTTTATTATACGCATGACATTCACATTTCCAACCCATCCGAAGCGGACTTCCGCGTGTAAAACCATGGACATCCGCTTTGGATAACATACATAAGACATGAACCACATCCAAATAACGCCGAGCCTGCATGAACGTGAAGATGGGAGAGTAAGGAAAAAAAGTATTATGGCATCAGTATCAGATGCTTGGCAAGAGTGGGAAGGTTCGTATAAGGATATCTAGGAGTCGAAGAGAAGGGGTCATAGCACGGAAAGGGGAATCATTGATACAAAATGAGAAAGGAGAAAAGAGTAGAGGGTGATATAGTTTAGAAATCCTCGTCGAATCGGAAGGCTCCGCCGTTCTCGGGTTCTTCAGAAGAGTCCTCTTCCTTCTTGGTACTGGCCATGACACCAGCTTTCTGGTAATCTCCAACACGCTTCTCGAAGAAGTTGGTCTTGCCAGCGAGGGAGATATTGTCCATGAAGTCGAAGGGGTTGGTGGTGTTGTAGAACTTCTTGTTACCAAGAGCAACGAGAAGCCTATCGGCGACGAACTCAATGTACTGGCACATGAGCTTAGCATTCATGCCGAGAAGGGCACAGGGGAGGGCATCGGTCAAGAACTCCTGCTCGATGGTGACTGCTTCAGTGATGATGGCCTCAACAGCACTGGGGTCAGGACGATAGTTGAGGTGAGAGAACAGAAGGCAGGCAAAATCAGTGTGTAGGCCTTCGTCACGGGAGATGAGTTCGTTGGAGAAGGTGAGTCCGGGCATGAGACCACGCTTCTTCAGCCAGAAGATGGAGGCGAAGGAGCCGCTGAAGAAAATACCCTCGACGGCAGCAAAGGCAACAAGGCGCTGTGCGAATGTGGAATTCTTATCTTGGATCCATCGAATGGCCCAATCGGCCTTCTTGCGGATGCATGGAACTACATGTTATTAGCTCTTGCCTCCAAGGTTTGTGGAAGGTGGGCAGAGTAACATACTTGTGTCAATAGCTTCGAAAAGGTAGGTTCGTTGCTTCTGTTCCTTGATATAGGTGTCGATGAGGAGAGAGTATGTTTCGGAGTGAATATTCTCCATCATGATCTGGAAGCCATAGAAGCATCGAGCTTCCGGTACCTGGACTTCGTTGCTGAAACGTTCAAGGAGGTTCTCGTTAACGATGCCATCTGAGGCGGCGAAGAAGGCCAAGACGTGGGAGATGAAGAATCGTTCATCGTCATTGAGCCTGTTGTTCCAGTCGTGAATATCCTTAGAGAGGTCAATCTCTTCGGCAGTCCAGAAAGAAGCTTCAGCTTTCTTGTACATTTGCCAGATCTGATAAGATAACGCGTTAGTCCTCAGTAACACTTTAACACGTAACGCGACGGGTAAGATTCCTAGCATACCTCGCGGTATTTGATTGGGAAAAGAACAAAACGTTGAGGGTTCTCCTGAAGAAGAGGCTCCTCTGCCTCTAGCTCCTTGGGCGTCTTAGGCTTGACAACCTGGGTCTCAGCAGGCTTCGAGGCCTCAATCTCGACCTTCTTCAGCTCTGGCTCAGCAATATGCGAAGAGACAGGAGCATTCTCTTTGTCTGCGAGATCCAGCTTGAGAGGCTTGATGGGCGAGTCGTCCATCTTGAGCTTTTCCAGGGAGGAAGCAGTCTATATCAAGCCATAGCAAGGCGCGTCAGTAAACCACTTAAGCACGCGACTATAGAAGGGATATCAGCAGCATACCTGCTTCGAAGGAGTAGACTGAGTGGCCATTGTGACTGCTGGCGTGTTTTTCCCGAGTGGCTCAAGGGCAGACAAAAGAACGAAGCGTGGTTATTGGGGTGTTGTTGATGGGAGTTGGAGGAGTGGAAGAAAGAGGGTGAAAGCTTTCTCCTTCGCCTTCAAATACTTTTTCGCCTGGAGTCGCGCTAAATCACGCGATCACGCGCTGGAGCGCGATCGCTTAGTCATAATGCTATGTTTGCCATGTTTGCAAGACGCGTTATCTTATCTGATCGTAATCTCCGCTTTAAGCTCCATCAAAAGGTCGCGTTATCCCAGCCAGAGCTGCAGCCCAACATGCAAGACGCACACCAAGGCTCGCACCAAGATGCGCTAGCATGGGCGCCAGGAACAAGGCTGGGCCAGTCACAGAGGAGTAGCGATTGTTGACACCCCTTACTCACGTTTCCACCAGGCAGTTTCTACGTGTGAGTGGCTGATCAGACCTTGTTTACGCAGGATCCTCCTCTGGACGCGACTTGCTTTCGAAACTATCAACTGGCTTTCAGCATGGCAATCATAGCCTGGCGGTTCCGCCTTATCCGCAAGAGTCTGTTTCTGGTGCTGGGCTGTCGGATGCGGTTAGTTTTGGCTCCATTTATCGCCGTGTAATGGTGAGACATCAGACGATACGCCAGACTTTGCTGCCTTCATTATTTTTATATATCCGACATTTCGTCTTGCCTGAGGCCCAAAAACCACTTTGCCACAATTTCTACTTTGCAACGCGCCGTTCGCGTCCCGATATTGCGGGCGAATTTAAAATTATGTAGCTCGACCTGGCCCCCCTGCGTTCAGCTGCAGCTCTGTTGAGTATTAAAAGAGCAGACGACAACGTTCACGAAAGATCCATTATTGCCAGCAAAGTACTTCGTACCACTTTCCCCCTTTTTTCAGTCTTTATTCTCTAATACACTATTATTATTCCGTCTATATTGTTCTCCAAGAGATCTAGTTTGATGAAACGCTTGCCCGGAAGAAGCATACGGTCTATATATACATAACGGAAATGTGAATATACAGAAGTGATAAAACCACTTATATCCAAGCCTTCACGGATTCTGGTAGAAATGTATCTTCGGCTTTGCGCATGATCTTGGTACATTGTTCCATGAATGTAAGTGTCAAAACCTAGTTGAATGTCATGTTAGAATATATATAGCTTCAAGTGTGGGAAGTAGTATGCTAACGACCTACCGTATGAGGGACTACACGGGCCAGATGAGCCGAAACTCCCTTGTAAATGGCGAACAGACCTTCAGCCTTGATCGTTTTCTTGACACAGTCAAAGACGCCGTTGTAAAGGTTGCCGCTTTGGTTGTACATTCTGGACATAATAGTGTCGGGAGGGTGCATGGCAATACAAACAACGACACCACTGACAGCACTGCTGGTAAGGTGAAGTGGAAGCCCCTCTTCCATCCCGAGATGGCGTATCAAGTTTCGCTTGGCAAAAAAGTATGTAGGTAGTTGAACAGAGCTACCGAAACCAGTTCGGATCATGGAGGCCATGGCGCCACGGTATAGTCCCGGTACTCCTTCGCTAGCGAAGATCTTTCGTAACCCATCCGTCGAGCCTTTGTAATTGTGCTGTGTGCCAACTGGAAGAATTGGAGAGTAAGACTGCAGCCTTGTCTTAACTAGGAAAAACGGCGAGGCAACAGCAGCACCGATAACTCCCGAAGTAGCTCCGGAGAAAACGTTGATAGCCATTGACTGCGTTTTGGGGTCATCGTAGAAAGAGGTGGTGAGACTTTTGCGAATGGGTTCGTAAAAGGAAAGCCGACAACCGTTCAACAGAAGTTGGTATGTATACTGTATATACAGTTTTGAGTCAGCTACCGTATTGCTGCGGGTATATTTTTAAGTATAGCTCGTACCGCTGCGTCAAGACCACGGAGTAGACCTCGGGGGCCTTCGTTCCTTAGAATGACGGTGATTCCATGGAACACACCCTTATATTGCCTGGCAACATTGTTCTTTGCTTGTAGCTCTCCTTGCAATTGTAAGCTTTTCCGCCTTGTGTTAGCTTCCGCGGACTCCAACTAGCAATTGACACAACAGCCAGCGTATTACCGAATCTTGACAGTTTCAAAGCTGTGTGTCAGGGTGACGGCACCGCAAGCGGCCAGACCACCGGCAAGAAATGCTCTATAATTAAAGAGAAGATAAGCTAGTGGCATCAAACGTTGATTCTTGATAACAGACCTACCCGGTAGCGGTGGACATCGTTGTTCCTTACACCCGGTATCTTCGTTCTCACGGGGAAATTGGATAAAAAATACGGGGAGATTGAGCGGAGAGGGTCTTCAAATGGGAATAATAAAGGCAAGTTATTAGCAAACAGTCCGCAGAGACATCGACATAGTTCCTTATTCCGCTCAATGGCAATGTCAACGGGTAAGCAGAGAAAAGTGCCTGGGTCTGAAGGACAAGACGACGGGAATGTCAATACTTTAATTTCGGCCTTCTCAATTGAAAATTCCAGCGTATCAGATTGTATTAATAATAAAGTTTTATGGGGCTGTTTCGGAATATGGATAAATATTAATCCCCAATTACATAATCATATTTTTCAGTTCAGCATGAATTCTATCAAACTCAAACTTCCATCAAGCTATCAAAACACGAAAGCAGCAAAATACCAAACGGAAGCACTAATAGTTTGCGTGCTAGCTTTGGCTGCGCAGATATTGCAGACGTGCTGAATATGACGGATACAACAGCAACACCCGCACAGCCGGTAGAGAAGGTATCCGATGTGATTAAAAATTATAGACCCACGAAGGTAAGTTAATAGCTACGGCAAGCATTGGGGTAGTTCGCACACAGCTAACAATTGACGGTTTTTCCTTCCAGGCATTCAGGGGAAATCCAAAGGCTGATAAGCAGGTTAATGTAACTTCGTTAGATTTCGACGATCAGGGGGATTATCTAGTTGCGTCCGGCGAGGATGAAATGATCCAAGTTTTCGACGTAAAGGAGGGGAAATCCACAAAGACTGTTCCCAGCAAGAAATACGGCGTACATCTTGCTAGATTCACTCATCACTCACGGCAGATTCTTCATGCTAGTACAAAGCTTGATGGTGTGTACTCCATGCTTTTGTCCTGAATTGGTGTGCTGATGGAAGGTAGATTCACTCCGGCTGCTCGATCTTCACAACGAAAGCTACCTTCGGTATTTCACCGGCCATACAGATAAAGTGGTTTCCCTCGCGGTATCTCCAGGGACCGACGCATTTCTATCCTGCTCGAAAGATGATACCGTTGCTTTTTGGGATCTTAATTCCAGGAATGCTCAGGGTAAACTTAAGTTGGCTACTCCGTACCTTGCGGCTTTCGATCCCTCCGGAAGTGTTATTGCCATCGCTTCACAATCCACTTCTTTTGTTCTACTCTATGATTTCCGGAACTATGACAAGGCGCCGTTTGCATCCTTTGATCTCTCCCCTCTTGAAGACCGATATACCCCAACAACTAAAGGACGTGCCTGGACACGCCTGGAATTCTCAAACGACGGGAAAAGCTTGTTAATCGGAACTGACTATCACGGCCATTTCGTTCTTGATGCTTTTGAGGGCAATCTTAAGGCATTTTTGGTTGGGAAGCATGGACCAACAGGCCGGGCTGCGCCAGTTTCTACCACTGGGAAGCCTCCCGGCCAGGGTGATGTGTGTCTCACTCCTGATGGCAGATATGCAATAGGAGGCGCAGGAGAGCAGCCAGATACCTTGGTCTGGGATCTACATCAACCTCCAGATGCGAAATTTTTTCTTGAACCAATGACCCGCTTACCTTACTATCGATCACGCACTACGCTAGTCCAGGCGAACCCTCGATTCAACATGTTTGCAACTGCGGATAAGGAAATTGTTTTCTGGCTTCCAGAGGACTCTACCAAGATGGCTGAAAAATGAAATATGTGTGGCATAATTGGTCATATATTGCTGTCTAGAACGTTACCAATACGTCTATATGGCTCTGCTGCTATCTTTACCAATCAGACTGCGAGCGGTATCACACACCCACACAGTCGGACCGCAGACCTCATCATCATCTCCGCGCTCCTCCTCGACCCAGGTCTCGATCTGTTTTACCACGGTTCGGTTACTTGATATAGTTGTTAACCCGGCAGCCCATCCATATAAAAACACACTCCGGTTGATATCGCTCAATTTTTGCGCAATTTTGCGTGCAATAGATGGAAGAGAGCCCTCTTTCCAACCACGGTCGATGTCACCCTGGGCGTCCACCACTTTGATGGGGAGTTTCCATTCTAACGGGATGGTATAATCGGACAGCTTTTGAAACTTAGATATGAGGGCCTCTCTATCTGGAACATCGTCTGCCTCCCCCATTAGCAGCCTAGTACGCTCCTTTTCTCTGGGCGTCCCTATTGTGTCCACAATCTCTCTCATTCTTTTAGCTGCCCTTGTTGTGCAGACGAGGTTCCTGTCTCCCGCAGCAGGCCAGAGCTCAGACAACAGTAGAGGTTTCTCTGCTTCAAGTTCGATCTGACGGTTAATTGCTGGGTGGTATGAGGACATGCACCTGAGATCTCGTACGTGAGAGAGATCGGACACAAATGCCAACAATAAAGTGCAATCCACGTTCAAGGTTGACGTCATCGGTGGGAAAGGGCTCGGAAGAAGAGAAGAAAACATGGAGCCTGCATCATCAATAGTGTTGTTGACAGATCCGCTCCTATTTACCATGAAGTCAAGACGAGAGGTCTCAGCGGTAGCGCATTCGACAGTAACACCAACCATACGGACTTTACGAATAACCTTATCAATTTCCGCAATTTGTCCTTCCACAATTTTAGGCAGGACCAGCCTGACACGGGGATGCTTATACCTGACCCGGATCTCTGCGGCAGCTTTCTTCATGTCAACAGCCAGCTTTAGCAATTCAATCATGTCATCTTCGTCTTCACTATCATAGTCGTTCATGCCAGATATCGATGCGGTATTACTCCTTTCATTATCCTCTGAGTCTGAATTTAATCCGATCTCCCATCCCTGTTTTGCAAGGTCAAATAGCAGTCTATTCGGTGTGACGGTGGATACTTTAACCCACTCCTGGCCATTATCAGCTACAATGTCAATTAAAACACCTCGCTTGCTCATTTTAGGAACGGTTTCTTCCACCCCTGGCTTGGAGTTGGGTTTAATTTTTAGATCATCAATGCCCACTTCTAGGTCTTTATAACCCCCCTGCATACAATGTCCTTTCATAGGTTTGTAGAAGTAAAACTTCTTGTTGAGAGATATAAGCCCGGTGCAGGTTGTTTTTGCGGTTCTCCAAACGTTGGCGTAAAATGGGAAATTAGACGACCGCAACGAATGCACCACTTTTAATTCAGCTTGGCCTAGATATTCTTCATCGCTATCCTCAACGTCCTTTTCGTAACACCTGTTTTGCTCTTGTGCCCTAATATCCGCCCTTTGCTGCGGAGTTCCGGCGGCATCCTCCGAGTCTTCGGCAGCAGCCTCTTCAGCCCTTGCAGCCAGTCTTTGCAGTGACTTCAGCTCTGACTGAACGATGGATTTGAATTGCCGTAGCTCAACCAGATTTGGCTTCCCTAGAGTCGCAAGATATGACTGAAATGCGGAGATCTCAGAAAGTAATTTGTTGCATTCTTCAAGCAAAGATGATGCCAATTCCTGACTGGTTTGCGTACGACTTTTCGGGTGCGGTTTCAAGGCTATCGAAGTATTCTCCATACTAACAATGACAATAGGCAAAGATATATATATAAAGAAAGTGGAAGGGAGAAAAACTAGAAGCAGTTCTGCAAGGAGGGAAAGATATTAGGAATGGGCTGCGAGGGAAATTGACATCGGTTGCATAGAAGTTCCTTTTCCATGGTCACGTGGTGATAAGCAGCAATAAGTGGATCAATGTTTGAAGATAACTAACATGCGAGCAGAGCCTCCTTAGTTATATCAATTCCTTAAATAATGATGGTACAAAACGAACAGAAAGCAAAATAAGGGAACGCAAAGATGATACGCAAATAAGAGATGCAGCCTAGTAATTGAAAATACAAGAAGGAAAGTAGAAAATCAGGGGGCTCGTAGGGGATAAAATGTAAGAACAAAATACCTCCCTAGATTTCTCCCAAAGTACCGTGGCATCCATCGTACATTGGTATTAAAAAAGACATAGATACTGCTTTAAGTATCCTCTTAGTCATCTTTGCGTATCAGCTTCTTCCTATCGGTTGAGTTCCTCGGAGACACATCGTCATCAGACCATCTGTCCATGTCTTCTCCAACGGCGAATATAGTCTCACCATCCAGGGAATGGCGCGCTTGAGAGCCGTTATTTGCCTTTGTACCGGCGGGAGACCTGCTGTTGCCACGCCCGCTTGGATTCTCAACAGCATCTTCCTCATCCAACGAGCTGGTAACGGAGCGGATTTCAAAGCCGTCATCGTCTTGGGCAAGCTGCAGAGGGCATTAGCAGACGACACAAATTAGAACGGGTATATAAACTTACCTCGTCACTCATAGCGAACCGTTTATTGTTTGCAGTGGGCCTCCATAGGTATGATATGTATGCAATGTTGAACAGATAAACAATGTTAAGCCAACCATCCAAAACAAACCATCTGCTCTTCCACTGGGCAGGAATCAAATCAGACACATTTGTGCTGGCAAAAACAAACGAGTTGATGAAGAAGAATGCAAAGATAACGATTATGCTACCCAGAAGGCACCACCAAAGTTTCTTATACATCATTGCCTTCACATGCTGCTTCCTGCTGACGAGGTCCTTCATGGTAGCACTCAGGGAGTTAAGGGTCCAGACGTAGAATGCGGTCAGTGAGCCTGCGAGCGGAAGAACAACTAGAAGTACTAGTGGGCCGGCGCTATCTGGAGTAATAGAGAGACTGGCAACAGAATAGATGACTCCAAAGACGAAGTGAGTAATGGCGAGAATACGGACGTAAATCATGGTTCGACCGAGGGAGGGTTTCACAACTCCATAACCCATGCAAACAATGAGCAGTAGAAAAAACGAGAATGAGTTACGTCCAGCGCTTAAGATAGACACAATGACCATTAGAACCTTGCAAACGGCATTCGCACCGTATCGGTTTTGGTAATCTAACCAAGTAAGTATTAATGAGCGCAGTTGGGGATGGATTTGTGCATACCGTAGAAACCCCATGTGATAAGTTGCTCGACAACCAAGAATACGATAATGGCAGTGATGTAATTTTGCACAGGTACTATTGACATAGTTAGAACAAGGTCAGGAAGAAAGGCACAGCTTACTCACGGATATCATGGCGGTGCTGGGCATAGAGGAACCCCCAGAATCTAAGCAAGATGTGTTAAAACAGGACGCAAATGTGAACTTCGTAATAGCCAGAAAAACATACACTCCCATCAGAGCATATAGTATAGTCAATCCACCGTAAAATGCCAATTTTGGAACCTGCGTAGCTGGTAGTTCTCCGTAGGCGTTTCTGAAGGTTACAACTCCTTCATATTCCATGTCCGTAAAGGGATAAGTAGTAACGCAATAGAATCCAGTCTTCGATACCGGGTATTTTATTGGCTTGGGATCGGTCATATTTATGGCAAGGGAAATGAGAGGGGACTTTGCTTTCTCGGTGGCGTTTGGTGCGAGGATAAAGGAGCCGATTTCCTTTTCGGTGCAGAGCTTCGCTTCAACACTCGGGGGCCCGCATATCAGCTTTTTTTGTATCTATTTTAGTTAGTTACGGGATCTAAGATAGAACACAACGCCTATAATAAAGGGGAGTTTTCTTTTGAACAGGATAGGAATACCGATCCGTCCTTCGCTGTCAAGTCACGTCCAATCAAAGATTCATCTTTCCATTCGAATATAGCCAAGCTCATAATCGGGTCCTTCTTATCCTTAACGGCCTCCATCTTCAGCAAGATGAACGGGTTGATATCACCGCCCCAAGACTTTTTCCCGTACATTCCAGAGCATTGTTGGCGGTTGACATTATCCTGTTTCTGAGGATGGAATCGTCAGCTCGATAGTTAAATCTAATGACGGAGCCATTCTCATATGGCTACATTGATTTCTAACCAGTTTAACATCATTTGCAAACACGCCAGTTGCAAGTAAGGCACCTAGCCAAAAGGCACTCTGCTGCCACCGCATGATTCCGGCTCACGATGCTCTCGATTAATTTCCAGCAGCAATGGTCAGAAAAACGCCCTTGAACCCGTCAAGGGCTTGAATATCGAATATAAGTCAGGCGAGATAATCTCCTGTCCTCGACACAATGCTCATCATGCGACGTGCGATGGGTAGGTTCAGTTGGAACGGCAAATGCTGAAGCCTTTCGAAGGTGACAACTTTTAAAGCTTTAAACGTTGCGATGGCTTGGGCAAAAGGAGTATGACGTAAGCAGGAACCTCGGAATAACACTCATAGTTTGAACTCTAAAAGTTTTCTGATAGACGATGACATTTCTTTGACAAGAGGTTGAAGATAGGACAGCTTTTTATTATTTTTATAACAGTACCCTTAGGGACTAACATGGATAGGTGTGTTGACTGCAAGAGGGAGCCGGCGTGTCTGGCTACTCGAAAACGCCACTTATGCCGGTAGGTGTTCAACTACATCTTCCACGGGCTCGCGGGGAGATAGCTAACGAGTGTCACAATCTCACCGTGAAAAAGGGAATGTTTTATTAAATTTATTCATACAAAGGCTCGGAAAAGAATGGATAAATATAAGGACGGGCCAAAAGGCAAGACGCCGACCCTTCTTTTACCGCTGTCGTTTGGAGTCTCGTCACTATCGCTGCTCCATTTACTCGATGACCAACTCGCACACCATCGAGGGAACGAATATAAACGAGTTCCCTACAAGCTCCATATCCTCTCTGTGCAGTCGCCTTCCTTGGATGTGCCTGAAAGGGCAGAGACCACTAGACTAGGGCTTTTGAGGTCTGCCTTTCCGGAGCACACCTTTACGGAGATTCCTTTCCATTCTATATTCCGCTATGACGAGAATGTGGCGGAGTTCATGCTGCAACATCCTACTGGTAGTGACATAAATGATACATCGATATCAGACGAGGATCGGCTTGAGGCATTCCGTTCTTCACTTTCCACAATGACCTCTCGAGCGGACTTTGATAATGTACTGCTGAGAAAGTTGGTTCTTGCCTTTGCCAATTCTGAAGGCTGTGATGGTGTCCTCTGGGGTGATTCAGACACTCGACTTGCGGCAAAAACACTAGCAGGAGTTGCAAATGGTAGGGGAACTGCCTTGCCTTGGGAAGTATGTGACGGCCCTACTCCGTGGGGAGTGCATTTCACATTTCCTGTCAGAGATATCTTCAAGTCGGAGCTAGTACAGTATGCGTCTGTTCGGTTCCCCGATCTGCTCTCAAAGATAGGGTTAAAGGATCCCAAAGTTTTCAACGAACAGGCAACAAAGAACATGTCTATCAGCGAGTTGATGACACAGTACGTTGAACAGCAGGGGGAGAAATACCCAGGTGTCATGGCGAACATTGTGCGGACAATCGATAAGCTCCAGCCGTCGCAATTACATCCCGGGCTACAATGTGTTTACTGTGGAGTACCATTAGAATCGGCACAGATGGATCCCTCGACTCTCAGCATTCTTGAAGAGCGCGATCTCACAAGTGATAAAGAAGTGAAAAGCAAACCTACCTGTTATGGCTGCGCAAGGACCTTTCTTGATTTCAAACTCCCCACTCCTTCATCCAATAGCTGAAATTGACACACAGCACAGGGTTATGATGCGGATGTTTGCCTACCAGAATCGCAGGTAACGCGTCCCAAGGACAGGTCCGTACGCAATGGAGTGCTAGAAGGTGGCATAGCCCTAATGACCTTGGTTAAGCATTAAACTGAGGTCTCAGATTGCATGTCTAATCATGAGGAAACCTATGGGTAGAGTGCTAAATCCAAGCTCTCAGTGCCTAATATAAGGTACTTCATCAAAAATGAACATATTAAAGGTTGTATAGGTGGTATCTCAAAATAAAGAAGGGCATGCTTGCGAAAAGAAAAAAAAGCCTAAAAAGAAACAGAATATACCGCGGCAAAACTCAGCGAAGAAGAAGTTTCTCTCTATCGACGATGGGACCGTGATGTGTTTGATCGTCGGTTTTCCCTGGGTAACCTTGTAGGCGAAGGCCTCTGAGGTTCATCATGATGCATTGTTGGCTCGGTATTGTTGCGACGCATTGACGGTCTTCGGCCACCTGAAGTAACGACCGTTCGGTTTCCCTCTTCCAGCCGTGCCAAGTTATTTTGTCCCTTTTCTTTCAGATAGCTCTCCAACAATACAGCATTTCGGGTATTGCATTTATATAGAGCATCTAGGAGGTCGCCGAGAAAGGGGATTAATCCAACAACGAAATCAAAAAAGACATTGAACACCATTTGCAATTGAAGGCTTGTAGGAAGGCCGCCCTCGACCTGTCTGCATGTCATGACAACCATCAGGGCAAAGAGGGCATCGACAACGTCTCCGAATCTTCGTTGCCAATCACAACGTCAGCAATATACTAGGAAAGAGGGAGGGGGGCTCCTTACGCAGGCACGAGACCGATCACACTTCCCCATCCAAACCGTATGCCGCAAAAGTTGCATAGAGAGAGGTCCAGTCTGTATGCTCGTCTTTTGACTTTTGTGAGTATCTTTGCATCATGAGTGGATATGCCTTCGGGGGCAGCTCTGCGGCGCTTTTTCATCTTCTGCTGCCCAAACATGTTTGTAGCTGGGACACTTTCGAAGTAAGGATCCTATAGTGAAGAAAGGTCTCTGGTTAGCATATCTGCGCTCCATGGTTAGACAGCGAACGAATGAAGCCAACTTACCTCCTTGCCAAAGTGATTTTCAGCAGACTCTTTCAGCACCTTCTTCGACAGTGCTCCGATGATATAGGATGCCATGGTGACTGAATTCTGATGCTGGAAGCGGAAAGGGGGTCACGATTGGTAGAATATGGGATTTCTGAAATCGCAATGAGAAGATATGGAGGGTGAGATTAAATCGGGGGAAAGGGAATATATACGTAAAATAGAAATAAAAGAATAGGAATACACGAAATGAAAGGAAATAAGTTAACGAGCGAACTGAGTATAATGGCACGGTGTTTGAGACTGCTTTCAGCGGCTAGCTTGGTGAATGCGACCGGTCAATCCCTTCGTTAGCGCCCCTTGATCAGCATCCGGAGCAATCAGCGCGAAGAATGTGACATCTTGACGCTCGGAGAGGAGCTGTATAAATATGTATGCCACCCGCACCATGGGGCAGTGTCAGAGAACTTGGATGCGGAGGCCCCGGTGAGCAATCCTATTGATCCATTCCGCTTGCAAGGACGTTCTCCTGGGCGGCAAAGACGCAACCTTCGAAGAAAGTGAAGTGGACGGACCCAAACGTCATACCGCTTGGATGACCAAGCATATTTATTACATAACACTTTTCACCAGCCACAGATGTGGCTCAGCATCGTGAGGCGCAATATGTATATTACTTAAGCAGGGCATTAACAGCGACCTCCAGCTTTCAAGGACGACCTCAGGCGCCAGCAGACGGGAAAGACCGAAGACGAGGTGGAAATAGACGGAAGCGGTCGACCATTTTCGCGGTGACATCTGTTTTGTATCGAGCAAGCGCATGCTCCTATTTTGCTATCTTTGCACAAGTGAATACGTTGTTCTGACAAAGCCCGGGTTTCACTTGTAGTTAGCTGACTGGCTCGCAAGCTCGAACAGCTCAGCGACCTCCAGCTTCAAGTCCGGACTTTACGCCCACACTATCACGGTTTCGCACGCTCGGGAATGCATCATTGCCCTAAGAATCATGACAGGAATCAATATGCGACTAGAGGACTGTAAGGAATGCTGCCAAACAATGTTCAGAGTTCGTGGGTGTCAAACTGATACGTTTATCTAACAGGGCTGGATGACCTCTGCGTTCGGTTCATTGTAAACCTCCCAAGAGAAGAACTGGAGTCCGTCGAGCGAATATGTTTTCAGGTCGAAGAAGCTCAGTGGTTCTACGAGGACTTTATTCGGCCACTCGATCCAAACCTGCCGTCCCTCAAACTCCGCGAGTTTGCCCTGCGCATCTTTCAACACTGCCCTCTCATGTCACAGTGGTCCCATTATCACCATTCAACCGCATTCTCAGAGTTCCTGGCATACAAGACGAGAGTTCCTGTACGTGGGGCTATTCTTCTCAACCAAGAAATGGATGAGGTCGTGCTTGTCAAAGGCTGGAAGAAAGGTGCAAACTGGTCGTTCCCTCGTGGTAAAATAAATAAGGAAGAAAAGGATCTGGATTGCGCTGTCAGAGAGGTTTACGAAGAAACCGGCTTTGATATAAGAGCTTCTGGCCTAATAAAGGACGAAAAGAACGTCAAATATATCGAGATACCAATGCGTGAGCAGAATATGCGACTCTACGTACTACGTGGAGTACCCAAGGATACTCACTTCGAGCCCAGGACGAGAAAGGAAATCAGTAAAATAGAATGGTATAAGCTCTCCGATCTTCCAACGTTGAAAAAGAACAAGCAGCATGAAAATGTGCCTTATCAAAACAACAATAAGTTCTACATGGTTGCAACCTTTCTTGGCCCTCTCAAGAAGTGGATTGCCAAACAGAGGAAGCTGGACCAGGCCCGAATCTCGCATCCTCATATAGCCATTCAAGAGGAGATGGGCGGAGCGATAATAACTGAAGATGAAGGAACTGAAGATCACCAAGATATAACGGAGGAATATCCGGCCCATCCCGCTCCGACAATGCCAATTCTACCACCTGTTCATTCAGACTTACCTGAGGTATCCACGCCACTTGATCCGACGGTCCATTTGAAGCGCTTGCTTAACATTGGATCAGCGGCTTCTACCGCCCCTACCAAGCAACCCGACTCTGACCGACAACGTGAACAACAACACCAACATGTTTCGAATATTGATAAAGGAAATGCGCTTCTACAGTTACTTAGGAATGGATCTGAAACCCACCCCCCTGAAAATCCACCTCTTGCGCCTATACCAGTACATCCTAGCAAAGCACTTCCAACCATACATTCGCAGCAAACAACACCACAGCCAACTCCTGGTCAAGCCTTTGCTCCTCCCATAACACAATTTGGTACCGGAAACCAGTACCCACAACATCCGCAAAACCAAATAAGTAATCAACCGCCATATGCCTATCCAGAACAGAAATCTGCTGCTCAACCCCGGCATGAATATGTAGGGCAGGCTCCTCACCAAATGCCCCATGAGCCAGCTAAGCCGCCGTTCACTGCTTATCCACCACCGTTGCGCCAAATTGGCACACAGCCGCCAATTTCCAGCGCTCAGCATGTAACTCCGCCTTACCACCGTACTGGAGATCCTCAGTTTGCTTCAAACAACCAAAAATTGCAAACAATCCTGCCCTCCGTGCCTCCTGCAAATGCGTTGCCTTTACCAAAACTTAATAGCCACTCTCTTGCATTGCTTAGTGTTTTCAAAGGTGATGGCGTTAAGAACACTGCAGCTATGCCAGGCTCCATACCCGCATCCACAGTTGAACCATTTCCACAAAATGATGCAAAATCTCAGCACAAAAACCAACTTCTGAGAATGTTAAAGCAGCCGAGCGGCTCGCATCTTCACAATGGTGGTGGTTTGCACCCACCGGGCCGTGTTGAGCTTGCGACTCAGAATAGCCCGAGGATCCAGGAGCAAACAGGGATGCATCCTCCCGGGCTATCTCTAGACAGTCAAACTAAGGCGCCAATAATTTTGCAAAATCCACATCGACCCAGGACCCCTTCTCAACCTACTGTAGGGAAGACAGCAGCCACGCTATCCGCACCCTTGAATCTGCCTAATTTTGAGGGGATTGCCAAGTCACCACGCAGTCCACGCAGGGAGAAGAAACATACTCCCTCTCAGTCATCAGCGATGAAGTCAAATATCAAAATACTTCCTCGCCCAACATCAAATAACAATGAGGGCGTACCGGTGGCAGTGAAGGCCAATACCCTTTCTCCAGCTCCTAGACCTAACGTCAAGCTTTCAGAAATGACCAAACCATTTAAGCCCAAGATTCTCCGTCGCCCAGACAAGGATAATCTAGATGAGTACCTTCCTACTTCCACGGTTACCGTGAGCGCTTTCTCAAAGCCTGAGCCACCACCGGTTAGCGATGATGAAGTGGTGCAGAAGACCCTACCGCAACCACAGTTTGATCTACGACCAAGTCAGTCGGCTGCACAGAAAGAAACACTTCTTTCTCTCTTCAACAAAGATCTTCCACCTCCATCCACCGGTATAAAGCGGGATATAACAAGGCAGGCTAAATCTCCAGCCTTGGTTTCTCCTCCTTTCTCAACCCTTATAAGCCCTGTTACCGATCCACTCAACAGCCCGAGAGAAGCTACCAGGGGAGGTGGATCTGAGAGACGGAGCGGTGCAGCGTCTCCCTCTAACCAGGCATTTTTAATTGGATATCTAGAGGATGTTGCTACAGGCAAGAAATAGATACGAGATGTAACAAAATTCGTTCAGTGGTTTGTTCACTCTTATATTTGTCCTTATACAACATCTCGTGCGGAATGAATAACCTGGCTGGCCACTCTCCCTTTTAATATCAGGATAAAGATAAATATGCCATGGTTATGGAACATGGGCCGCGTGAGGTCATTAAAAGCACTAGATAGGTCTGCCGTGCTGTATAACAAAGCTCCGAGTCATGGTTAAAATTAAGCGTTGGTGGCTAAATACAAGTTGGGACCATTGCGCAAGCTATTCTTATGAAATTTAGCATTCAACGTCCATCACACTCTATTTAAGCACAGGGAAACCATTTCTAGAGGATGGAGCTATCAACTTCTTGTACGAGGACTTTCAACGTGATGATGACAGAGTGGCACAATCACCTTATACATACGTAGCGTGAGAGAGGTTTATTTCGCTCAGTGAGTTTATGTGCCTGAGCGGCATAATTGCCCCTGATAAACAGACCATATCCCTGAACTGGGAATGGACACATTGTAATATACAGCCAATTCCGCCCCGTTGATCCTCCCAGTTTATTTAGATGGCGGAGACTGATTATCAGCAATCAATAGCATATTTTGCCACATGATAACCATCCCTTTCGAGTATTGATCCGACGATATATCGTATATACGAAAGTACTTAAGAGCAGTCGTTCAACCTGCCTTCTCTATATATCTATAAATACCTCCCTCATTGCATGCCAATATCTCCGAGAGGGCTCTCCTGATAAACGATTAGACTTTGCCAGCTTCTATAACAGCCCTCAACCCACAACATGAAGGCCTCATTATTTATCCTTTCAGTACTTTCAATATTTGCTTGCTATGCAGCTGCTGATTGCTGCTATACCTCCCGTGACAATGTGAGAATGTTCCGAGGTCCTTACTCTCCTTTCAAATTCTTGTTCTCATTGGTTTTCAAATATAGATGTGCAAAGATGGAAAGCCAGGGAAACCATACTGCGGAGTCGGAGGTAACAAGTCTCCTTATTCCAGGAGAGGAGTTGATAAAGGGCCTTTCTAACACATTGCTCATGGTAGATTGCAACTTCATTGGCTGTGATTGTCAAGGAGGATGTCGCTAGTTTGACGGGTATAACTAAAGCTGCCCAACGCTGGGCTGTTTGGTGGCTTCCTCCGGGGGTCTGTGAACAATTGATAATTTTCTGTGTTATTCTTGTCCTATATCTTCGAGATCTTATTTGGAATTCGCTCCAAGGGCCCTGGAGTTGTTTTGGGATTGTATCTTTAGGTGTTGTCGGGTTCTGCTAGGGTAATTAGTTATTTAGTTAGCCGGGAAGACCACACAAGTTAACTAACTAATTGATCGGGACAATGCGAGTTTTGATTTAAATAACGGCATTTCGGATATACGTAAGGAATAATATGTTATAATCTGACTATTTCCTTGATAATTAACTAGACAAATGGACCCTATTCATTTCTCTCGCTTATAAAGATATTGAAACAGGTCGTAATTTTATTTAATTAGTATCAAGGTCTGCCACTACACCAAAAGGAGTGAGCCCACCCTAAGGTAGGAAGAGCTGAAGTTTTTGACACACTCCCCCCCCCAGTCATAACGTAGTTTATGGCTGAGACAGGTGGACTCCTCACAAGCTCTTTGGCATAGAAGAACACCTATTCTAGCTTTTTATCCCGGAATCTCTAATGGTAGACTCGATATTTGGACTTGTGCACTGGCGGCTTCTTCTTGTAGCGCTTCTGGAACTTGCTGACGACTTGGTGAAAGGTGTCTCGGTCTTCACCTTAGCGATTAGTGTCCAGTTCTCTATGGATCTCCAAAACACGTGTATACATGGGGTCGATTTGTTCGTTGGCCTCGATAAGGTCGTCAATTGCGGATTCTTCATCCAATATACCGAGTTCCTTCACGTCTTCATAGGTATTCTCCCAATTTTGAAGCCAAATACCAACGTCCTTCGCCGGCGGGTCCTCCATTAAAGACTTCCAACGTTGCCTTACATCTCGTCTTCTCTCCGACTGTGTTGGGCAGAGGCGTTCCTTTAGCTTTTTAAAGATGACGTGGGAGTGTTCTTCTAGCGCCAGACTCGTCATGATAGGGTGTTGTACGCTACATACTAAGTGGTATCGAAACTTGCGTAGTGCATCCTGCTCCTTATCGTACTGGTCGAATTCCTTGTATTGCTTTGCGAGGTCTAATTCGTACTTGTCCCACGTTCTGGCGTCTGTACCCTTGGGTGGTCTTGTAATTGGTGCAGGTTCCGTTCGGAAGGCTGGTTCTCCTTCTAGGTCTGGTCTTACTAGGTCCCATACCCCCTCTGCCCTTCCGAAGTCGTGTATTGCTCGGTACCAGACATGCCAGTCCTGCCTGGACCTCAGGATAGGGACACTGGTGGTCCTTGTGTCTTCGTCCATCTTGCTAAGGTCATATGAGTCGTTGGTGCTGCTGTTCGAAATTTTGCAGTCGGCGTGAGGAGAGTTGATACGCGATACGTCTTGTATGCCCTATCGAGTGTCAGCCGGACTCATAACCATCAAAGTCTGCCACTACACCAAGAGGAGTGAGCCCACACTAATGGTAGGCAGAGCTGAAGTTTTTTTGACAAGTAACCAACTAGTTATTGCTGTTTTTAGGTTAACTAACTAGTTAGTTAACTAAGATCGATAAGATCTGGTGAAGGCTGGGGGTGAAAACCGACAACAACTTCAGTATCTAGAGATAGTTATCCAAGCCAACACCCGTCAATAGCGAGCTGCAATGGTGCAAGGCCTTACTTCAAGCCCGATTTGTGGGCGATGTCTGTTACGCACTCGTCGTCAACTGTTAAGAAACCGGATATACTCCCAAATACACCACAATCACACGAACCCTCCAGCACCACCTCCGTCGGGCTACTCGCATCTAAACAATCGATCTCTCATTTCCATCTCTGGGATTGATAGTACAAGCTTCCTTCAGGGCTTGATAACACGAAACCTTTCGGTTCCGAAGAATTCTCCCCCGGTTACCTCTCCATTCTATGCGGCCTTCCTTAACTCCCAGGGAAGAATTCTTAACGATGTCTTCATATACCCGTTCGAAACTGCCAGTTCCCCTGCAGGTGAAATGGAATATCTGATTGAATTGGACAAGGAGGCCTCTGAAGGCCTGCTTAAGCATTTTAGAAGGCACAAACTTCGCTCAAAATTGAAGTTTCGGGCGCTTGATGACGGAGAGCGAAGTGTTTGGTCGATTTGGGACGATGGAAACACGTCTGCTTGGCATGAGAATGAGGCCTTCAAAGAAAACAACGCCATTGTATGCCCTGATGGTCGAGCACCCGGCATGGGATACAGAGTCATTGCCAGTGGAGGTAAATTACCTTCACGGATCACAGAAGCCTTTCCAGGCGATGAATCCTCGATCGAGGCCTATACGCTACGCCGAATGTTACGAGGGGTGGGAGAGGGGCAGGTTGAGATGCCTCGAGAATCTGCCTTACCCATGGATAGCAATATTGATATCATGAATGGTATCGACTTCCGTAAGGGTTGCTATGTTGGCCAAGAATTAACCATTCGTACGCACCATCGGGGTGTAGTACGCAAGAGAATTCTGCCCGTTCAGCTTTATAAATCTACCAAAACACTGCCCACTTCAGATATGCCAGTTTATGATCCAGACACGAGTATAACACCGCCGCCTTCTGGTGCTGAGGCTAATATTTCGAAAGCTGGAGCTAGCAAGGGCAGAAGTGCAGGAAAATTCCTGAACGGTATCGGGAATGTTGGACTGGCTGTATGTCGTTTGGAGATTATGACGGATATTGCCTTAACCGGTGAATCTACGCAGTATGATGCTAACCAGGAGTTTAAAATAACCTGGGATTCTACTGAAGTGGGCGGCGCAAATATTGCAGATCAACCCAAGGTAAAGGCATTTGTTCCTCCTTGGATTAAGGAATATATTCTAAGTGGTGGTGCACGACATCGTCAACCGAAGGCATAAACAAAGCTGGACGTGGAGGGAATGGACGTTGGTATGTGAACCTCAGGTATGGGACACAAATACCAACTAAGTACCTCAAGTGATTTTGTAAGAGCTGTGTATAATTTGGCGCCTGGATAAGGTTGAATCCTCGTACTCTGTATAATAGGAAGTAGAAAGTAGAAAAGCTACTAAAATATAGAAGATTGAGATTGTTCTTTCTGTATATTACAAGAGCGGGAAAGTCGTTTAAGATCTGCTTTACGTTATAATATATACATATAATTGCTGAAGGCAGTGGTGTGCTGATTTAAGTAACGGGTAACGAAACCGAGGTAGAGTATAATTGTCAATTACCCTTTGGGTAATGATAGTAATAGGTATATAATTTCATGAAGGAATATTGAACTACAAAATGAAGTTGCTTGAGCATTATGCTAACACCTGCTTCGCTTTATTTTCCCTCCAGGCATCGGCACCTTAGAAGGGAGTCCCAGCCAAGAAGTGTCCATACTTCTTGAGTAAACCATTCTCCTGGGGATTCTTGGGGATTGATGGACGGCTCCGGGCAGATATTTTCGGAAGACGTATCAGGAGGGAAATTCAACGAAGTCCCGAGCGATGTATCATCAGCACCAAATATGCCTTTGAGAAGGGTGTTTTGAAGCTTTGTTTTAGCATCTGAGGCTAAACTCTTTTCTCGTCCACAGTCAATTGATTCTGCTGCTACTTCGGTCGTTTTTAGGTGCTGATCCATATATGAAATCGCTAGCTTTAGAAGCTGTATTAAATGTTTCGAGTTCCAGACTGCAGCTAGCTCTGCGATATCAGGTGTAGGGACTCTTATATCATTATAAGCAGTTGTTAGGTATGCAGGAACGGTTAATTTGAGATTAGGAGTCATTGGCTCTGTAAGGGGCGACAAGTCTTTGAAAGTGAAGAAACCGAGTACCATCCCAACATGCTCTAGGATCACAAAGGTGAAACCTTCTAGTAAATCTTTGTGCTCAGGTTTTGCCGTATCTAAAGACCCAAACATGGTACATGCCATGTTTGCGAAACAGCCAAGTATATTCTCGACCTTTGGAGCAGGTTTGATGCAAGGTTTCTTCTTTTTCTTGTTGGATCTGGCTTTTGATTTCTCACAAGATTGTGCTGCTGACTTTTCGTATGTTCCCTCAGGACTTGCCTTTAGAAGTGCATACTGATATGACTGCTGCATTATTCGCTGGAATAATTTGGCGACGTGGTAGACAATGGATTTGGTGCTTATGCCTACATCATGTAGACCTGATGTCCTGCTTAACCCTTGCAAGATAGAGGGGAATATCACATCGAAAATTTTGGAGATGTCTTGTATGGGAAACTTGGCAATTTGCCTGCCTCCCTTTGCTGGTGGCTTTTGAGGTATTTCTTCCCTTACTGCCGTGAGTAAAGCTGTTTCCAAGGCCCTGCATACGGATTCTATAGCCAGCGCCATAGACTCGGGGTTTGCTTTCTTTCGAAGTAGAGCCTGCAAAGTGTGGAAACGTCGCATTAATTGTGCAGTGACTAAATTAGATTAGTACAATGATACGGCAAAAACGATGTCGGGTACCCGTACTGCCTTCACAAAATTCAAGGTTGCTAAAGCGGTAGTTTGGGTGTATCTTATTAGACGGCGGGGCATATGCCTGTGATTCAATGCTCACTGTTTTTGCTCTCTTTTTCGGACGGGTTGATGACGATGGCTTGAGGTTAGCCTGGGCCACGCTTTGCTTCTCCACACTGATGGATGAATCCCATTTATCTCGTAACAGACGGGCTTCATTGTGCTGCTCCAATTCATATATTATGTCTAAAAGTTTGCTTTGCGCAGCTTCCGATTTCTCATATGCCTCGCGCCAGAATCTTGTGCTGTCAAGGTGAGATTCTAGGCAGGCAGGTTCAGGCCAGGCTCTTTTCCCGGCAGCGATGTAGGCTCTGAGATTCAATATATGATCTTTATAAAAATATCTTGTTAGAAGAACCAGGAAGGTAGTGCATCCCTAAAGGTATGGCTAGCAGAGTCGAACCTCGGATGCTCGTGTCTTGGGGTTTTGACTTGACAACAGCCAGCGCAAGTGCTATTTGAAACTGCAGGGGGCAGCTCTGGTTAACTAAATCCATGGATTCAGCCTTTATTCCACGAACCAGAGAGAGGAGGTACTGGACAAAGTGACAGATGGATGTTGAATGTCGACAATTTGGCGGGAGAAAGTCGGCATATCAACAAGTGCTGGAGTACACCGCCTTTCCGCATTGGGACGACTACCGGTGGCAGATTCACATCTTCGACGCTGGAAAATAAAAATCATATAAAACGATGTTTATATTGGCCAGTGAGTATGGTATCGGGCATTAAACACGGAACAGAAGGGTATAATAGCTAAGGACGGCGAAAAGCTCACATCCCATCCCCATGCAAGTCCAAGGCTCTAGTTGTGTTCGCGGTTGGATTTGTTCTTATGCAACGGGACCTACATTTGAAAGAGCTGAAACTCTAGCAATAAATATTAGAAAATTTCAGGATTTTGGGGGTGATAATATCTTCATCCCCTTCTTCGTCCCCAGTCTCCATGATGCACCTCAAATATACATACGTATCTACGGAGTAGTGAGGTGGAATAAACGATTTGAGTTTGCAGCAACTTAACCAGTTAGATTCGAGAAACAATGACTAAGCAAACTCTAGATTGAGGCTCTGCTGAAAGACGACTTTCTTCGAGATCCAAATATTTCCAACCACAACCAAACGCAAGAGCTGACTGCGCACGTTGTAAGCGTACTTCAAGCTCTCACAAGTTGTAGCCGACATCATGGCTCCATCCGACGATCTAAAGTCGCACGCTGCGTCTTCTCACGACTTTTATGGCCTATTGGGTCTCAACCCTACCGCCGTCGACAGCGAAATCAGACGAGCATACCGAAGGACTGCTCTCAAATACCATCCTGATAAGATAGCAAATCCTACACCGGCAGATATTGAAAAGTTTCATCTCCTCCAAATCGCATATGATGTTCTTTCTGAACCTCCTGTCCGACAGCTATACGACAATGCAAGGGAAGCTCGAGAACGGAAGAAGAGGGAGAATGAGTTACTCGAAGGAGCACGGAGGAAGATGAAGGAGGATTTAGAGGCAAGAGAACGAGGGGTTAAACGGCCGTGGTGTTTTACTGGATCCGGCGGAGATCATGACGATTTACAAGCCGCAGATGATAAACTGGAACGGGAGATCAGGCGGCTTGCAGAAGACGGGAAGAGAAGACGACGGGAAAAGGAGGAACGCATGCGGAGCCAAGTGCTAGAAGAGGAGGAGAGGTTGGAAAGAGAAAAAGAGGAACTAGAGGCCAAAAAGCAAGGAACGTCTAAGAATGGTGCGACCACTATCAACGTAGGCGGAACAACTGTGCCAGAGATAGATCGAACTGTAAAAGTTCGGTGGATAAGAGAGGGAGTCGGCCTTGATATGGATAAAGCCAAACTAGAGTCATTATTTTCGACGTTCGGCAAAGTGGAGAGCACCTTCACGTTGAAGGATAAGAGACAACGGGTGGGTGACCAGCGAGAGAAGAAAACTGTTGCTACTGGTGTTGTTGTCTATTCCTCAGTAGTTGGTGCTCATGCAGCTGTTGAAGATCGATTCAAACATAGAGGTGACGCATGGGAGGTCATCGAATCTGTGGCTTGGGCATCGAACAAACAGCCGGATTGGGATGCCTACAGAGCTTCTTCTCCTGTGACGACAGATATGCACAGCAAGGCAGAAGCGTCAGCCGGTGCAGCTGCTTCTGAACCTGATAATTTACATCCCCCATCACCCAACAGGCCGAAGCGATTCACCATGGCCGACTTAGACCCACGAAAGGAGAAGTCGGAAGATGTCAACAAAGTTGGGAAAGCTCCTTCATTTGGATCCTTCTCATCTGCAAACGCTAAGGGGGGTTTTGGTGCAAGTGGCCCAAGTCTAGAGGAGCTCACTTTGATCCGGTTAAAAAATGCTGAGAGAAAGAGACTCGAGGAACAAATCCAGAAAGAGGACGAGGCAGCTGCCCTCGCTGATGCCAAGTCAGCGCAATGATATGACATATTATATTTGACAATCTGTATTGTACATTACTGATTTCATTCTGCGATGATACCCATCTCTTTTAGTTATTATGATAGAATAGACAGCCTTGAAAATGACTGACGGATTCAACAATGTAAACTGATGACATTGATCCGTTGAATTAACGACTGCGTGATGCATAGAGTTTAACGCCATATATGATGGTTTACCAAAGGGAATGTCCTTTCAACCAAACTGCCCACACAACTGGGACAGCCAGACCCAACACAGAAAACCCAGCAGTCATCTCCACAACTGCCCATACCCATAAGGTGCCGAGGGCCGGAGTCTTCTTCATTGCTGCATAGTAAGACGCCTCATTCGCCATAGCAATTAACCTCGATCCCAAGAAAACGGAAAATGTTAGAAAGATGATATTGTGAGCTGTTGGCGGGAATAGAGCAAGTATCAGAGATTTTCTTGTTGCGAGTTGTCCAGAGGTCTCATTCGCAGTTTTCTTTCCTGATTTAGGATATAATGAAAGCAAGGATATCTTGGGAAAAGTGACCATGTGTCCGTGGACGAAATGGATAAGGAGAGTCATAACTGGAAAGGCCACGACCAAGGTTTCGAAAATTATCCTATCAAATTCGATTTCCTGGGCGAACTGGTGCGCGGCAAGGAATGATAAAGTAAAGTGAATACAGGAGAGTGACAGGGAAAGGAATATGGTATCCGCCAGCGGTGGTAGTGACTCGGAGTTTTCTGACTCTGCTTTTGCGGGTGCGGTCTCCGGTGTATCTGGGAGTGGGGAGTGAACAATTTCGCCGTCCGCATTCATATGGACATACTGCATTTTGGGTGGAGTTTTCCCATCATTAGACGATGTTTGTCTGTGCTGCGATGTCAGTAGCTCTGCCTGGCGCTCCGCAGCAATTTCATATAATGTCTTATGGCCTGGAGACGCCTTTTTGTTGTTGTCAACAGCAGCAAGGGGTATTGATGGACCATCAGAAGGCTTTTTATTCTGACGTCTGGTAGCCATGTTGAATAAATGTATTGATAAAAAGTGTATATTATTAGAAAATAAATTATGAAGTGACTTATTGTGTTATAAGGATCATACCGAAGATGCTGCCCGGTGTATTGCGTCGATATCGAGGTAATGCAAAAAAGCGAAGTTGGAGGTTAAAAATACGATTACATACCTAGGTAACACAGAAAGCACGAGATTAAGTTCACGTGATATGCAGATGGGGAAATTAAGTTCAAATGACGGGAGCTAGAATTAATAAAGCTAGGTTAAGTCTTGCTAATATTCCATGACTAATTAGGCACGTGACTTAATTTATTCACTTACATAATCATCCGAAATGCGATTCCGTCAAACTTCGCACGGCAGAAATGACAAAAATTCCGGTACGGAGTACATTATTGAAAATAAATTTATCTAACCTCAAGCTGGCCGCCGGGGATCGTGCAGGTGCATGAAGAGAGGAGACGGCAAGGGATTGCATGCTGCAAGGGCTTCCGGTAACCGAACTAGGTTTATAAGATCTGCTCATTTTAACTAACAGCTTACAGTTAGCGCTTCATCGTCACCCCCTATTCCTTTTCACAAAAATAGATACAACCACCAGGTTAATGACACGTTACATCTTTGCGCCCACCCTTGTTGCTATTAAGCCGCCTCTACGGCGCTTCTCCTACGCATGAGGATCGCGTGGGAAGTTTTTCTTTGCGAGTAATCGTTCCGTTTTGAGTGTGGTTGTACAGTGTTACTGCAATGCAGTATTGGGTGAAGCTACCCAGTTGAATCTGAGAAAGCTACCAGATCGCATTGCATTGTCTATGCCACGGAAATACATTTCTGCGATTCTACCGCATGCAATTGTCTCTTACTTCGGAAGCTACAACTGGAGACCCTTATTTTCATATATCTACCACGAATTGTACGTCAACTAATATTCTCCATTGAGCGTTTTGAATATCACACATTACGGAGCACAGGGCAGCCATGAACTCTGCATTTACATTCCTTTCACTTGCCATATTCCCTCTGGCTCTGTTTATTTTCTGGACTCTGTCAACAACGGGACCGTCATCACCCCTTGGACGTGGATTTCCAACCCTAACCAATAAACGGATTTGTCTGCTGATCGCCCACCCGGATGATGAGGCTATGTTCTTTGCGCCGACTTTGCTAGCCCTTACAAAGCCTGAGCTGGGGAACCATGTTAAAATACTTTGTCTAAGCTCTGGTATGTGCGCTCTATTAATGATCCTTGACTCAGCATCGGGGTGGTTTCTAATTTATCAAATTACAGGGGACGCTGCTGGCCTGGGACATATTCGCAAACAGGAACTCCAGAAGAGCGCACTCCGGCTTGGCTTGCGCAATGAATCGGATGTTTTTATTGTAGATGATCCAAGCCGGTTCCCAGATAGCATGACTGCTACCTGGTCCGAAGAAAATGTTTCTGGCCTCCTTGCTTCTGCATTTGCCCCGCAACTTGCAGCCCAAGCATCATCTCAGTCTGCACCGATGGCCACTATCGATATACTTCTCACCTTTGATCAGTCGGGTGTTAGCTACCACCCGAACCACCGGTCCCTCTACCATGGGGCACGCGCATTCTTAAAGACTTTAATGCGTGGAAATTCTAATCATCCTTGCCCTGTCACCTTATATACCCTCACTTCAACAAATTTGGTAAGGAAATATATAGGCGTCTTTGATGTGCCAATAGCTATGTTAAGCGGTGTAATAAGCAATGCATTCGGAGGCTCTGGTGACAGGGACACACTTTCAACATCACCGTCCAAAAAAACCCAGGAGTTAAGGGGGATCCGCGAACCACCTCCAGCAAACAGGTTACTTTTCGTCAATTCTGTAGACGATTGGCTTTCTGGATGGAAGGCAATGGTGTATGCACATAAGAGTCAGATGGTCTGGTTTCGATGGGGATGGATTACGGTAGGGAGATATATGGTAGTTAACGACTTGAAGAAAGAACTTGTATAAAAGGACCCTTGATTTTATCTTATACCTGAATACTTTAATTGGGAAAGCAGTCCAAACAGCTAATTTTGTCGTTACTCTTTATTGGAGACTACCTCCTTAGGTAGTGAATTGCATTTCGTATATAGCTATCTAATTCTATCCTATGTATAATAATACCAACGAGTCGTGAGGAGAACATAGAGAATAATGTTCCTGGAAGAAAGTGATAGTGTATTCCGCTGTTATAAATGGCATGTATATCACAAAACAAGAAATACAAAAAGGGGATAATATACAGATCCATAAGTTGGTATACAGTAGTGCTAAACAACTAAAAAAGTGGTATACATAGCGTACGAAGGGTGCAGCCAGTTCAACATGCACTGCAACGATGACGGACACTTTCAGTAATGAAGGGTTGCCCGAACTGGCCGATCGTCTCCCCAAAACTGTGCTGGGTCAAATTCAACCATTCCGTTTGTGATATGATAGCGCACAATGCGAGGTAAAAATATTTTCCATTCATTCACGGTATTTGGGAGTCCTCTTCTTTCCCAATCGTACTTGGTACCGGTCCAACGCCTTCGGAGAAGCATGAAAAGAGCCCAGGTCTGAAGATAATCAAGTTCTCGGCACGTGGCCATATGGACGACTTGAAATCGGTGGTATAAATCCCAGTAAGCCTTTGGGGCAGTGGGTGGAGGTGTGAGAGATAGGGGGTTGACACGACGTAGGCTGCTTGTCGCAGTCTGTTCTAGGTTGGAGCTGCTCTCACTAGAGGGACTGTTGTTTTCGAGTTCTAAATCCTTCCATGCTTGGATGAGCTGTTTTGCCAACACTCGCCTTTTAGATAGGGTCGTTTGAAACATTTTTCGCCCATCACGCATGAAGCCCTCGGTGGGATCTACCGCTTGGCGGCTCCAGTTTAACTTCGTCAGGATATCGTACACTTGTAGCGTAGGTTTCATGTTGTAAGGTTCTGAAGTCATCGTCTTAAAAATCCCAATCACGGAGTCTTTAGGAATGTGGCCGATCATATTGTCTTCTGCATTCTGTCCATATCTGTTGGTGGAAAGAATGTAGGACCACACAAATAGTTCCATCCAGGTACGTTGTGGTATCGGCACATTGTAATTCACGGAGATAAAGTCAACCAATTGTAGTGCAGTGGGGATATCGTTGTTCGTACAAAATATATGAGCCACGGCAAGTAAAAGTTCATCGGTAGGGTGTAAGGGAGAAGATGGGTGATAGGGAGTTACCGGGGGAAGATCTTCTTCTCCCTTTTGCAAACGGTCAGCATCAATGTTCCAGACGGTTTTCAGGGTATCCTTAACAGCTGCAATGTCCCATTCACGACCCGATGCTATCATCAACTGAATAAACGTGGACTCGTTGGCGTCCAGACCATCCACTACCATGTTTTTGAAGAGGCTGTGTACTTCATCACGCACGCCGTCCTTTCCCGTCTTGTACCCTCTATATCCCGGATTACTGCGTTTGAAGCGTCTTTTCCTGTATATCCAGGGTGTTGATCTCAACGAGTGGTTCTCCTTGGGAATGAAGGCCATGTTCCAGGCTTTAGCCTCCATGTAGTAGTTATAACATAGGACATCCGGCGAAATCCCATCGGCGATCATTTCCTCCCATAAGGTATTAGCCATAGCCTCATCTCCCATGGAACGAGCGCAGTCTAGTAAATGAGTATATTCTGCAAGCCCTAGAGTATGTCCAGCACGACGCCGTGCTTCAACAATCGTTCCTAGATTTCTAGCAAACCTATCGAAGATTTGCGCGAGAGGCTCGACTTTGGCGTACTCTGCGGCAGAAGAATGGAAGCTCCGTTGGATTTTCCTCCATGGTTCAACGAAATATGCTGGAGATAACAACCGGAGAGCTTCTATGAAAGTGGTAGCAGGCAATTGACGCATGATATAGTCGTTATTTCCTGGATCAAGGAAGATGGCCATTACTTTGTCCGGCTGTCCTTCTAAAAGAACGGCACGGATATACTCTTCCCGTTTCCGAATAGCGTCCTGAGTTGAATCCTTCCTCTTAGAGCCAGGAGTCTCAATCTCCCAGGCATCTTTATCATTGTTGGACGGCAAAGAGGTTTGATCAGTGTCAAATGAGTTATCCTGGGGCTCTTTCGACTGCACAGCGGAGTGCACGAATCTGGTGGTTATAAATTTCCATTTTGGTGTGCTGGATTTGCTGGATGGGCGTAATTTTCGAAGCGAAGGGCGGGAGGAGGAGTGTATAGCTTGCAGCTGATTCCGTGAGGCCTGAGAGTGTTTAATGCTGGGTCCACGCGCGCCATTGAAGCCAACTATCCGCCAGCTACATGACGGGCATATGTACTGGGAGACGAGGTTCTCGCCTAGCAGAGTTGTGGCACGCATTAATTCACGACGACGCTTTCTCCATGAAAGCAGCGGGCAGAGAAGAGAACACAATGAGCAATCGGGGATTCCGTCTCCCGGACAGGCTTGACGAGATCAATTGCTGGCGTGGAGCAGGCCAAAGACCAAAAGATACCAACAGCGAGGAGAAAATGCATGCGATGTTGAAGAGCTTTTTGAGTTGCCGCTTTTGGATTTTTGCTGGAGCGGCGGCGCTAGTCCCTTTTAGGCCATAGCTCGTCCTGCTTATCTTTTTGTGCTTTTGCGGCTTCAAGCAGGAAGAACAACGAGAGAGACGAAGAAGAGATCCAGTCTGCGCTTCGACCTGGGCATTCAGCGGCGCAGTTTACAGTTACGATGGCAGCAGTAGACGACGATGGAGCAGCTCCCTCCTTCTCGGAGCCGTTGGATCTGGTTCGCCTGTCACTCGACGAGGTCGTGTTTGTGAAGTTGCGCGGGGACCGCGAGCTCAAGGGCCGGCTTCACGTACGTTCGATTGTCGATTGGATTATATTTCTATGATGAAGGAAAAAGCAGCAGCGGTACTGACATCATATTATTGTCCAGGCCTATGACAGTCATTGCAACATTGTTCTCGGCGACGTGGAGGAGACCATCTATATTGTTGAAGAAGATGAGGCCGGAGAAGAGACCATTAAGGTATATATCGAACCCACCGCTAGAGAAGGAACGGAATTAACTGTTTTTACAGACAATCAAGAAGCAAGAGGAAATGCTGTTCGTCAGGGGTACGTCGCGTTATTCCTTAATTTTCTTTTCTTTTTTTCTTTACTTCTCGACTCGTTTCTGATTCTATGACTGTACATTAGGTGACTCCGTTGTATTAATATCACCACAGTCTCCATCAAGTTGATAGGAGCGGAGATGGTGACAAATATCAGAAAGCAATGCCGACGACGGACGGCCGAGGACTCATGACTATGAAAATGAGCAATATCGGTTCTCACAGGGTCCGTGTTGGGACAGCCTACAGCTTCGAAGCCGTTAGTAACTCGTGGGTGGGACTATGTTCATATTCTCTAGAGTGGACGACCGGGGAAGCAGCCCCTGCATATGGCTCATCCATCCAAGGCGATCGGCCATTTACGACGAAAGGCATGGATAGTTAAAAGACATACAAATGAATAACGATATAATAGTTGACATCTAAACGTAAAGACGTGCCAAGTCGAAAGTCGGCGTCCTCTTTGGGGAGCCTCACTTTTTGTTTGATGACTCAACCTTGAACTGATGACTCTCATGGCTCGACGTGCTGGCGCTTCCTACAACAGACAACTCGCATCTCATCACAATATAAATACTCAGCCATACACCCACGTCTCTCTAGTGGAATCGCTCACTCTTATATCATCTTTACTTCTTATAAACCATGTCTTTTTAACCCATAACTACTAGCCACACCGTCCTTTACAGCGTTCACACGGCGAGAGAATGATCGTACGAATACGACAGACTTGAATCCACTTGCGCTTAGTCGCACATTATGATATCTTACGATAACTCCTTTATAATCGCGAGTTAAATACCATGACTCACGGAGGACAGCAGAAGTTGACAGCGGAGGAGAGGCGCAAACGGGAGCAGGCATGCATCGTCCCCCTTTCATGCGCCTATACGGTTCCCTAGTGGGAATACAGTTTACCATATCGAGGCCAGCGTATCTAACATGTCTTCTCCGCCTAGTCTCTGAGCGAGTTTGCCGAGTATGTTGAGAAGCAGCAGGAAAAACGGTACCTTCGTAGCCAAAACCGAGATGGCTCCGTGGCCCCAAGCGACAGCGGCTATTCTACCACAGCCATATCTACCGCTCATGATGACCACTCTGAACTCGACATTCTTGACCAGCTTGGCTTGTCAGACCATCCCTCTAGTGTTCAGCTCAAAGACTTGCTCCTTGACAACTCCCCAGACGCGGAAAGCAATATTTCTCGGATAACCAGCGTTGTGAAGGGACGGCTAGAGGAGGGACAGGGCGAGACTATATTTGACCTTGGACAAGAAGACAACGGTGATTGGATGGGATTCAATAAGGAGCAGTGGAACTATGCCCTTGATCGTCTACGGCAGGCTGCTCGCGAGCTCCGGGCTGATTGTCGAGTCTTGCTGACATACAATGTTGGTGGTCCGGAGGAGGCTGAGACGAAGAGTGACCGCATAAAGTGTGCTTACGGAAAGGTGCTGATACGACAGGCTCCTGAGACGGTAGAGAAAGTCATTGAAACCCGAATTGCAGTTGTTGGCAATGTCGATGCTGGTAAAAGCACTCTGCTAGGTGTCCTGGTCCAAGGAAAACTCGACGATGGAAGAGGCAAGGCTCGAGTGAACTTATTTCGTCATAAACATGAGATTGAGACCGGGAGAACTAGCTCCGTCGGTATGGAGATTATGGGGTTTGATACCCATGGCGAGATTGTAGGCCACGGCCAGGCCCGAAAACAGACATGGGAGGAGATTGGGAGACAGTCTGCCAAGGTGATTTCGTTCAGTGATCTCGCCGGCCATGAGCGCTATCTACGGACTGCTGTCTTTGGTATGCTCAGCAGCAGCCCAAACTACTGTCTACTGATGGTTGCCGCAAACAACGGACTTATTGGAATGAGCAAGGAGCACCTGGGAATTGCCCTATCACTCAACGTCCCCGTCATGGTAGTTATCACAAAGATAGATATCTGCCCTCCTCATATTCTTCAGCAGACAGTTAAACAGTTGACTGGAATTTTGAAGTCCCCGGGGGCTCATAAGATTCCAATCTTCATCAAATCCCGAGAGGATACCGTTAACACGGCTACGCAGTTTGTCAACCACAGGATATGTCCTATCTTCCAGGTATCTAATGTGACTGGAGAGTGCATTGACCTGGTACAGACGTTCCTCAATATGCTTCCACATCATGGCCGATATGACTCTGGCGCTCCCCTCGAATTCTTGGTGAATGATACCTTTTCTGTTCCTTTTGTAGGGACGGTAGTATCTGGTGTTGTGAAAGCTGGAGCTGTACATACAGGGGATGCGGTGCTTGTTGGGCCTGATTCACTTGGACAGTTCAAAAACACCGTCATCAAATCCATTGAGCGTAAACGAATCCATGTGCACGCCTGTTCAGCTGGGCAGTCCGCTTCTTTCGCTCTCAAGGGAGTTCGCAGAAAAGATGTAAGGAAAGGAATGGTTGTTCTACCTAAATTAGATCGTCCTCCAAAAGTCTATCGTGAATTTGTTGCCGAAGGTATGACAACCCACGTTGTTGCTGGATCTATAACTTTTACTGACCTTGATTTCTGTTCTAGTATTGATACTTTCACACGCCACTACTATCAAACCTAAGTATCAAGCAATGCTGCACGTTGGGGCTGTGAGCCAGACTTGTGCTATCATCGATATTGATCGGGATTTTATCAGAACTGGAGACCGTGCCTTAGTCGCATTCCGCTTCATTCAAAGACCTGAATTCCTTTCAGTTGGAGACCGAATCCTGTTCCGAGAGGGAAGGACCAAAGGTCTAGGCATTGTTAAGGAGGTTTCTTATGATCCCAATGTCCCTCTTAATCCTGAGAAGAGGACAGCGCCTTCGACTGATTAGGGAAAGGCTGCCTAACTTAGGGGCTCCGTTTCTACGATTACGCAATGCCTTACGATTAATTGATGTTCATGTTTCTATTCTTTCTTGGGAACCCCATGCATATCTTTCTTCGCTGGACATTATCATTCCTTGTTTGCATGTTTCCGTTTCTATTCCTTTCTTTCTATTCGATCCCTACATATTGTTCCCTGCTTTCTGGTGTCAAGTGGAGATAATGACGGCTGTGTTTTGTATAATATGTTGGCCCCCACTGCATATACCTGAATCGCTTGCTGCTGATCGCCTCGCCACAACCGCCGTTATGGATATCCTTCTGCCTGTTTCTTCGTTCAGCTCGTATCCCATAGTCTTCTTCTCCCCAGATTTGGCGGCAGAGATACATATCACGTGACATATTTATGCTTTTTGCCATGATGTCATCACCCCGGAATGTGCCAAGGTACGTCACATCTGAAGTCATAACGTTTGGCATCAGGGGCGAAGAGCGCTTCAGGAGATGGCCTTGCAAAGGCTTGCAAACGAGCAATGGGCTTTCTCGCCACGGGTCGAGAACCTGTTGTTGGGAAGGGCCCGCTGTTGACGATGGTGTTTCTATATAAGGGCCTTCCAGTCGTGGAAAGCTGATATGTTTCGTCAACAAAATCAAACCATTTTCAAGTTTACTTATACACATAAGTATCTAAACTTATCTATACTCAAGCTACTTTGAAGCTGTTCACAAACATGGAGTCTCTTAAGAGCGGACTGCAAGCTGCAGAAGATGCCCTGCTTGGTCACAAATCAGGGCAAGAGCCTGCCTCCGGAGTCCAAGGCAAGGGAACAGCAACCGACCCTTATGATGCTGGCAACGCTCCTAGTATGTACATATAGCTCTCCTAATTATTATCACTACTACATTACTTATCTGAATGCTCTTCTAACTATCGATAACTCATAGCTCAACCAACTGAAACCCAAGGTTTGGCAGGTAAACATGGTACCGGTCAACAAACCTACGGAAACAAGGTTGATGAAGGAGTGGGAGGTTTCCACGACACCACAGGAAGAACTGCTGGAAAGCCTACTACTGGCAGTAATATGCCCCAGGAATCCGGACGTGTTCCTGGACGGACAACCCAAGGTACCGAAAGAGTAGATGAGGGTATCAGTGGTATCGCCGGAGATAAAACTGCATATGGTGAGAGAGCCTTACGATCAGAGATGCAGCAAGCAGATCAATTCTCTTCTACTATCGGTGCCGGTCAGAAATCCTCAACGGCAACCAAAATGAGTGGTGGGCTCACCGATGATTCACTTGGTGGTGCTGGAACTGCTGGAACTGCTGGAGCGGCTGGAGTTGCTGTTGGCGCCGCTGGGGCAGGAGCTATGGGCCGTGGCCAGGAACCAGGAATGACCAGCATGAAGCAACAGCCTGGTATGACTGATACAAGTGGACGAACTACTGGAACGGCATCACATGGCTCAGATATGCCATCTAGTACTTCTGGAGGATACGGGCAAACAAAGCAGTCTCAACCTGGCAGTGAATATGGTGGAGCTGCTCTCGGTTCTGGAGATGTCACTGGCGCCGGTCATGGCACCCGATATCAGCAACCCTCTGGTAGCACAACACATGGAGAGCACGGTAAAACCAGTGATATGACCGGAAGCTCCAGCTATGGTGGTTCCTCCCAATACCCCTCTGAAATGAAGCAAGGTCAAACAGCCGGAAGCATGCCAGGTGCAAGCAGCTCTGCCGCCGGTGGTTACGGATCTTCAGAAATGAAGCAGGGAGCACCCACTGCTGGCTATGGTGGTACTCAAACTGGAATTTCCCAGGGCACCTCTACTACTGGGCACGCTGGTTCAGGCTATGGAGGTTCCCAATATCCATCGGAGATGAACCAAGGAGTTTCGTCCACGAGTCAAACAGCTGGAGGCAGCATGGGACGCACCGCTGATACAGGTTATGGAGCCTCCTCACAGCCTTCCTCTGGAATAAGACATGACGCTCCGACTTCCACCACCAATAGCCGCACTACTGGCGGCGTACCATCCCATGCACCAGTTAGTGGAGGAGAAACCCCGGTTAAGAGCACAGGGTTTGCCGCAGAGGGCGGTAACTTTGATGCCACGCAGCCAGGTGCTGGAAGAGAGGCAGATCGTAAGTTATATGTCCCTTGAACCTACTTATAAACATTCAGAAATAGCATACTAATGAAATGAGAAGGTCTTTTGGACCAACGCACTTCAAAGGCTGGCCAAGGTACTTCCACAACCGGCCATGGAAACACCGGCACTACAACCAACGAGCCTCACACTGGTGCCCATGAGCCACATACCACTCATAGATCCGGCAGCATCGCACAGAAGGCCAAGGATGCACTTCACATTGGAAAGCATTCTAAGACCTAACCTCGTGCCAGAGTGATATTTAATTCAAATTCATATGCCTTATGGTTTATATGTACCATATTTTCTAATATATTCCCATGCCTGTGATCCTCTAGTCGCGATGCAATTATTATGATTGAATTATATGTCCAAAATGTGTTTGTATTTACAAATTTGGATGGGTATCAGTTAACCTTTTATAACTCAATTGATCCCCTATCAATATTTTTAATACCACTTAAGTCTACCAGTAAGCTGTTTCTAAAATGATGGAAATTGGCTTAGTATTGTAGGAGTTGAAACTAACGGGCTCCTAAACAGACAGCTCAGCGGTAGCTGTGGACATAATATATCCCTTATATTTCTCCAATTTTTTCTCGACAGGTCCTCCCGCTCCAGCATATCTCTCAACAATTTCGGGAGATCGGCCAATAAATAGCTTAGGGTCAAGGAGTCCATCTATCTCACCCCAGACTGGTTTCTGTTTAATATATATATTAGTTATAGCCTGTGATGTAAGGGATGGGGTTTTTTTTTTTTTAGGTTAGATCATACGAAAAATTCAGTTTTCTTGATTCTCTCAATGAGATCATTTTTCCCACCCTCCATTTTGACGACATGAGCGGCTTGATGCGAAAGGACACGAATCTCCTCGTGGGCTTCTTGCCGGGAAACTCCGTGACTACACAACTTCATAATTATGTTCTCAGTAGCCATGAACGGCAACTCCTCCCGCAGCTGAGCGTTGACAATGGCGGGGTATACAACAAGGCCATTGGTGACGTTATCTAGACTGATAAGGATGGCATCTGCCATGAGGAACATCTCAGGGATGTCGATACGGCGAATTGCGCTATCATCCAGAGTTCTTTCAAGCCACTGGCCGGAGAAAGTTTCTGAAAAGTTGGCTGATACGTTGCTAAGCTTCCTGCCAATGCTGCAGATTCGCTCCGAGCTATTTTGTAAAAGTCAGTGCCTGCCCATAAGACATTTACTATAGAGGAAGAAATGCAATGCATACCGCATTGGGTTGCGCTTATAAGCCATGGCAGATGAGCCAATTTGGTCCTTCTCGAAAGGCTCTTCCATCACTTTATCGTGGGCAAGGTGACGAAGATCAGTTGCAATACGAACAGCAGTTGCTCCAAGGGCTGCAAGGGCATTGGCAATGCGCAAGTCCACTTTCCTAGTATATGTCTGAGTAGATATGTCATAGCAGCTGGAGAATCCGGCCTTCTTGCAAAGGATCTCGTTCAATTTGTCGATTTTAGAGGCATCATTGTGGAAAATCTCCATGAAGGAAGCCTGAGTTCCGGTGGTTCCTTGTGCTCCTCTGAACTTAAGACCAGCTCTGACGTACTCGATGTCCTCGAGATCCATAACGAGATCTTGAAGCCATTGGGCGCCTCGTCGGCCAAGTGTAATTGCCTGAGCAGCTTGGTAGTGACTGACTCTATGGATTAGTGGTTATTCATGAAATAGGGCTTGAATTAGATGCATACGTGAAGCCTAGGGCCGGGAGGTCCTTGTATTTGAGGGAAAATTGAGCAAGGTTGTGGATAACTTTGGCGAGCTTTGGTAGGATCAGGTCAAGCGCATCACGGATAAAAATCAAGTCGGCGTTATCGGTGACCTATAGAAATATGTCAGACTACCATTCGACACAATGGCAAATAATTCAGCAACGAGGAAACCGAGCAGTACTATAAACCGTGATTTCTGCCATTAGCGGCGGAACAACAGTGATCAATGCAGTGAGTCAACATACCATAGCACGAAGTAGCTCCGAGATGAATAACTCCCGCGGCCGCAGGAGCATCCTTTTCCAGAGCATAAACATGGGCCATCACATCGTGTCTGCGACGGCGTTCTTCAACAGCGGCAACTTTGAACGCCTCGTCGCTCACGGTGACGTTCGCCTTGATTGCTTCAATCGCCTCATCGCTGATCTGCTTGATTCCGAGCTCTTTCTCGGCCTCTGCTAGCCAGAGCCAGAGCTTGCGCCACGTAGATGCTCGCTCACGGGCGGAGAATATCGTTTTCATCTCATTGCCTGGCACAAGTAGTTAGCTACTTTATACATGGGTCATAGCGGGGGTACTGCGATAGCGGGGTTGATAGCAGCCGATAGCACATAAGAAACGGACATACTGGCATAGCGAGACGCCAATGGCGTCTGGTACTGATCATTAGCAGACATTGTGGGCTGTGAGTTCGGCATATGAAGCCGTAACGAGGTTGAGATGTTTTGGTTGTGCCGTGACTTGCAAGCGAAAATAAAGTGACCTGCGGCGGACTAAATGGACTTTTGACTATCCTGGTGAAAACTCGTGTTTATAACAAAACTTACATAAAATACGCAACGAGGGTTAGCACTTTGATTATGTAATTAGATTTCTAAGGATTTCTAGACAATATCATTGGATAAGAGGGAAGAACTTGATTACTAATATACCCTCTCTGTATTTTATTTATCTTACATCAGCACTCTTTCTTAAAGACACGCACTTTTTTCTCTATGGTCCACGACCAGCTAACCATCCAGCTATAAAAGACGTATATCGCAAGACAGTGAAGAAATGAAAGATACAAGATGAACAGCATATGGATTGAGATATGACTTAATTCATTATAGCTGTCGTAGTAGCTATCCTGAGACCTTACACATATGCAGTCATTATAAGGGATTCAGCCGTTGAAATGAGCGAAAGACAAGATTCCAGTCAGTTATGCCGCCCAAAAAAAAAAGCCCCAAGGTAATATATAAAAAGATAAGGATGCCGCCATTACAGGGTATCAATGGGATGGCTATACGCTATTCAAACAAGAGTTTCAACTCCTCGATGCGCTGCTCTCTTTTATCTTCGTCGCTGCCGTCACCGCCGACCCGCAAACCAAGGGAGCCGGCAATCATCATCTTTCTCTCCTGAATTTTGAGAATCCTTCCTTCAATGCTGTTTTTCACCACGAACCTGGACACCTTCACATCCCGTAGTTGGCCCATACGATGCACACGATCAATGGCCTGAGCTTCCACGGCGAAGCTCCACCAGGGATCCATCATGAACACGTGGTTTGCAACTGTCAGATTCAATCCGACACCGCCAGCTCTCAAGCTGATCAAAAGCACACTCGGAGGGGAACCTTTGTCCTTCCTGCGCCTATTTCGGTATTCCTTAAAAGGGTCCGGGGAATGTGCAATATCATCATCATCGTCAATGTCCTCTTCGTCAATTATAGGGGCATTGAACTGGGCAAGAACCGTGGCACGAGCCTTTTGACTCATCGTGCCGTCAAAGCGAAGATGAGCAATACCGGCGGTAGTCAGCTGCGGGGATATTAAGTCCAAAAAGGAGGTAAACTGAGAAAATACCACAGCCTTGGTGCCTCTGGGAAGACGTGTAAGATGGGTGATAAGAGCATGGATCTTCGCAGAAGTTTTGGCAGAGGGGGACAGGGGATTGATCCGACGTAAGGATATTCGGCATGCGGGAGGAGCGGGATTGTCCAAAGGCGGAGGATTTTGTGTTGCGGGAGTCTGTTCTGGAGATTCATGCCTCACAACTTCAAAAATATCGCGAGAACTTAGCTTTTCCCGGCAGCAAAAGCACCGGGGAACTTCCCCTTTATCAGTCTGATGCTTGATATAGGACTCCAAGCAAGCTTTACAGGCGCTATGCCAGCATGAAGTAACTGCTGGATTGATCATTGGCTCCTCAGAACAGATCGGACATTCACCACTCGATTCCGCCTGTATTTGCTTCAGTGCGTGAGTTGTGAAATTAGCGGTAGGGTCCCGCTCCTCGCCATCCGAAGCTTGCATTGAACTTGCGAATTTGTCAATGAGTTCCTGTAGGTCCATGTTGTCTTTCAAAATGTTCATTTCATCGGCAGCAATAGCAGCATCTTCCTCTTCCGCAACGATGGATTGGTTTCTCGTCAGAATGGGGTGGCAGCATGTTTGCCGTAAGCGGAGGATTTGGGCAAATATAGTTGTATAAGATTTTAACAATGTCCCTGCGGCTACATTGTCGTTGAATGTCCGTTTGGCTCGAGTAAAAATAACATCATATATTTCTCTTTCTTGTTCTGACAGCTCAATCTCTTCCACTGTAATGGTACGGGATGGCAATGGAACAAGGGCCTCTCCCTCCGGCGTTTTCATGGTTTTTGTGCGTCGAAGAACCAATGGTTCAAGAACAGTTTGTACAACGCTCAATGCACGCGCAAAGTCTTTCGATTCAAATGGAACAGTGATAAAGGTCTTCCAGAACGAAAAATTGCACCATGGTTCCACTTTGAGGAATCGCACGAGGCTATAAAGGTCTTCAAGTCGGTTCACGATAGGTGTACCGGTTAGGACCCATCTATGTTTGGCCTTAATCTCATAACACGCTTTGGCTGTTTTGGAGGCCCGATTCTTGATATAATGGGCTTCATCAAGAATTACACGGAAATATTCGACAGAAAAAAGGCCATTATCGCCCAAGTTTGTGCGGCCAGATAGAATCTGGCTATGCTCTGACCGAACAACCCCATAGCTAGTAATGATTACATTGGGAGCTGATGGGTTTTTGGGAGAACAAATACTTCGTAGGTTGACCGATTTGTCTGTTCCATAATAAACTAATGTCTTCATAGTTCCCGGTTTCGACGCCTTTGACGCTTCATTTTCCCATTGTGACAAAAGGGATGTGGGGGCAACAACAAGGGTAGTGTGTGGAGCGTAAGATACTTCGGGAGAGTTGTGTGGCCACGTAATACTGTGGCCTGATGATGGCAATGTAATGCCATTAAAGTATTCAGAGTTAGGTTTATGAGAGTGTATCAAGCTCATCATTTCGATGGTCTTGCCCAGCCCCATCTCATCGGCAAGAATGCCACCCAAACAATTTTGTTCCTGTACGGGAAAGTCAAGACTTAATCCCCCAGAATATGGGTTAACGTAAAAAAAGTCTTTACCACGTACGCGTGGGAGAGGCTTATCATCAACATCTTTTACAGGCCAAGGGTATTCTTCCCACAGGGGATGCATGGATCTTTGCTTTGTTGATTTTTCATCTTTCTCCTTGGTGATCAGCCAATGAAGGGCCTGTTTTTGATACTTTCGTAATTCCAGATTGAAACTTTCACCTGGAGTAGCTTCAGGCATATTGAAATCAAAACACTGGGCTTTCTGATACAATGTATCTAGCTGATCTTGGTCAAGCTGTTCACCATCGTCGCTTTCGGATGCTTCGTCAGCATCCTTCGACGGATCCTTGCTCGATGTTCCCGATTTTGTACCCTGCTCAGCCATTTCTGCAGCACGAAGAAGCCCACTTTTCTTCTGCTTTGCAGTGGTCTCATCCCCGGAAGTTGGTGAGAGGCAAATCTCATCAAAGAGAGTTACCAGTGCAACTTGGCGTAAACGAAGTGCCTTTTCTTCCGCCGTTTCCTCATGCTCAAAAAGACGAGGGGTATCATCCTCCAGTCCAGAAGAAAAACGCTTCTTGAATGCTGAGTTTAGCACATAGCATCGAAGTTGCAAGTATATAGTATCGTTTATGCGGATTCTCTCCGGTGCAAAAACACACACAGCGGTGAATTTGCATATCTTCTGATCGATTAAAGTTGATACCCAAGATGCAGTTTCCTGTGGCAGCCTTCCAATTTCGTCACCATTGGAGTTCGTGAACCTAGTTATAACATCCGTTTTAGGATTTGATATAGCTCTTTTGGTCTTTCCTGCTTTTGGCTGAGGCTGAGTTTTCGTGCGCTGAATTTTGACTTCTTCCCCAAACTTGAGTGAGCTTGTACTTGACCTGGTTGCCCATCCACCAACACCAAAGGCACCCAGATATCGATACTCAGGGTTATCCGAAAGCAAGGGGCCACATTTCGTTCTCGTCTTGAGAAGCTGTCACATATGTGGCATTTCTGGAGCTGAAGTTTGTTTGTAGAAGCTTCTTCAGTAGTATTTCTTCAATCAATGGCA